CAAACACATCATTTAACTATTCTCAGTGTGAAACTGTTGTCCAAGAAACCAGCAGGTCTCCCCTTGTCTTGGTTGATTGCACTCTTGCCTCAGTCAAAAAGCTGAGAGTTCAAATCCCACATCATGACTTTGAACCCAGAGTCTAGGCTAACACTTCAATAGAATGCTGGTGGTGTGCGTAATGAGAGGTAGAGGGCAATTCAGGAAATCGAACCATCACAGTGGTCTTTTCCAGTTGTACATTTCTATGCCCTGTATTCAATATATCTTCCAAGTAGCTTAGTAAAGAGAAATAGTATAAAGGAAAACAACTAGTTGAGCCACACAGCCTCAATAAAAATACAACCAAATATCTAGTACATCTTTCATAACCTACAGAATATAATCCGAGCGTAGTCATTGAGAAAATTTAAATATTTACCCATTTGGACATACAAAATACATTTATTTTAAATTTAGATATCATGGACAACATGACGACTCAAATAATGGAAAGGAGAAGTTATAAACCACCTTTCCCTCAAGAAAAACGTTATACTTTTTACTACATATTGGCATATCCACATCCGTTCTCTGACCAGGAGCTTTTTTTNCCACCTCCGTCACATTGCCCGCCTCCGTCCATATCTCACAGCCAACGCTGCCAACCCAACCCTGCTAAACCCTCATCCACGTCTTCATCACCTTCTCAGCTGGACTATTCCAATGCCCTCCTCATTGGTCTTCCCAGCTCCACCAATACACAACATTCAATTAATCCTAAACTCCACTGCCCAGATACTCACCAACACAAAACTCCGTACCCCCGTATCCCCAGTTATAGTTAGGCACCACTGACTTCCAATTATCGAATGGATCGATTTCAAGATTCTCTCATTCGTTTTCAAATCCCTCACACCTCCCTATCTATCCGAATTATTTACCCCCTACTCCACCACCTGCTGCCTCCGCTCGGCTAGCTCCAGCCTCCTGTTTGTCCCTCGCCCCTCCACCATTGGTGGCTGTGCCTTCAGCCAATACAGCCCAAAACTCTGCAATTCTCTCCCTCAGTGCCTTGCCCTCTCCTGACTTTCAAATCCCTCCTAAAGACCTTCCTTTTTGATCGTGCTTACGGTCATCTCTCCCCTCCCTCTTCCCCTGGCTCGGCGTCAGACTCCACCACTGTCAAGCACTCCGGGATGCTACCCCGCATGAAGAACGCTATACAAATGCAAGTTGTTGTTGTTCTTGGCATAAAATCTTCAGTTGATTTACTTTCTTAATGCAACTGGTTAGGCATAACGGAGAGTTAGCCAACCTAACAAAATACGTAGTTCAAATGAAGGTATGAAAAGCTGAGCTACTGTTCCAAAAAGATACCTGCAATAATTCCTTTTCAATCTAATAATAATGGATGAAAGTTTAGAGATTTATGAAGTGAAGGAAGTTTATTTATGACTGCTAGTGGATTCATTTATGCTCCTTGAACAAAATAAGTAAAAATACATAAATATTATCTCCTTTTCCTATCCTTGTGGATATGAACTTTATTCCACTACACAGGTTTATAAATAGAACATTTAGAAATAGCTTTACCAAAAGGTGTCAGTATAAATTGTAAAACTAATGCCTCACAGCCACCAGCAGTGCATACAACTTAAAACATACATTAAGATTTAACCTTTCACCTGGCAATGTATCATTGCATCATTTCCTGTGTAGAGATAGCACTCCTGTACTAATCAATCACAGCTAAAGAGAACATACAGTCAACATTCTTAATTAGTCTATCCACTCTCCTCCTCGCTTCCATTTGTCATGAGCACTGTTTAAAATCGGCATTATTAGTCTTTATTTGGGAGTAGATCTGGTTAACATCTCCATGTCTCACGAGCAAAAATCATTCATCCATCTGAAGTACACTGGTGCCTGATAATTCATACCCCTGCATAGAAGTTGCAGATAACCAGAGCCCCCAAACCCACTCGAGTATCATAAATCACAGCACACACAGCTCCCATGCAACCTGGGTTAATTTTTGTTTACAATAAATCTACTGAGAAAGTTGGTTTGACACTTAAGGAGTCTGGTTTCAGATCCAATGATGGGAAAAGCAAAGAAATCTGACACAAACTCCAACTAAGCTAAGTGTTTTGCCTTAGGGATCTGTGCAGACTGGATAGTATTAAGAGACTAAAACAACTTTATAAAAAGGACTGACTGCAAGACAAATCAAAAAATTTAAGCAACTTACTCCACATCCATCCAAATATGGCCAAGTGATAACAAGCTTGATTTTATTCTTCTGAACAAACTAATCTTAAATAAACTTAGTGGTACCATTTCAATTACACAATCAGATCATTATGAAGTTTTCAAGCATTAAATAAAATACAGTTTGAAATTACCAAACATACAGATGTGCTCAGGCCTTTTCAGCAAACATAACAACCGCAGCAAATTCAGGAACCTCTTGTACAGTGGCCTACAAAAATACTGTAACTATATATTCTTTTCCTAAACAGTGCATACCAATTAAACCTTTTTTCTCTTCTGGCTTGTTTAAACATTCCAAGGCAGTATAAACATAAATGGCGCTAAACAAATGCTAAATCTCACTTTGTTAACCAACAAATGTGTGCACGGTGTCAACAAAATATTTAATTTTGCCTTTGTTTAAAAGCATCAAATATAATTTTTATGGGGAAAAAACATATTTTGACTTCCAAGCATTTTCTTAAAATGACTTAAATAAATGAAATAGAATTGTTGAATCAATCTGAAGTTTTGCTTATCTAAATAAGGAAATCAGCAGCATGTCCCACTTCCCCCAACAGTATGTTTCAATAGCTGAGAATTCAAAACGAAAATCGGTTTCCAAAGGCTGCCTGGACCAATATTACCATTCTGTTGTATCCGGTTAAAGCAAAGCATAATAAATACATTTTAAGCACCGATGCTCAATTTCCAAATGATTAATTAAAGGGACAGTACTTTGGAAGCACACTCCATTAAGTGAACCTGCATTAAAATAGGGTTCTATTGTATTTTGTGCGGAACTCTTTCTGGTTCCCAGTTATCTTGTTGTCTGCTGATGAAACACAGTCTGAGGAGAATGCTCACTAATACCACTACAATTATTCTGTATCCTTATTCAGATCGGTGGATAGAATGGCATGTCACAGAATATCTGTTCCAAAACTGCTTCCAGCCACCATGAAGAACAGCAGCTAGAGGAAACTGACAAGACACCGATCAGCATATAGATCATTACGTTTAACCTTTAGATCGTCTTGGAAGTAATCCTGGCTCAGAGACTAAGTCTAGTTAAATGCATGGTGATACCCACTGGATCAGTAGAAGGAAATGTAGGTATAATTGCCCTAAAACAAAATTGACTATAATTACTTGTAATATAATAACGAGAATGTTTTCTAAATACACAAGATACTTTTTCATTCATAGACATCTTTATCATCAAGTTGTTTGGAAAGGAGCCAGGACTATTTCACTGGAAGAAGGATTATATTCACATAGATTAACACTTCAGTTGCATTTTCCATCAAAAACCAATAGCTTTATTAGCTTTTGCTCTTTCCTTCAGATGAATAATATATTCTTGGCTCACTTCATGTTTTAACATCACTATACCACCAACAAAACAGTACTAGCAAAATATTCAAATCTAGTTAAGGCTAACTTTAGCGTAATGTTACAGCTTAGCAACAGTGGCCGCTCATCAGTGAGGTAAGTGAGAAACTGCCTCACCTGAAATTTCAGGAGCATGGGAGCAAAGCAGTGCTGGCACAGGAGCACAAACAATTTCTCCTAAGTTTTCCTTTCACTATTCTTGTGACTAGATGATACCATGATCCCTAGATACTGACTTCCCCACCTGTGGAAACAACTTCTCCCTATTTACCCTAACAATTGGATAAGTCAGTACAAATTGGCTCAAATAAATTGCATATAGAAAATTACATTGCATTTTGCATCCAACTGGAAATGTTCCATTTTCAAAGGATGAAAAGGTGATACAGTCATTTATTGAGATATATTAAATGAGGAGCTATTTAAATGGTATAGGGAGGGAGCTTAAGTGGCTTATGGGGAGAAAAAACACCAGCATAGATTGATAAACTGAATAGTCTGCTTCTACACTGTATTCTATGATTCTAGAAATATAGAATGAGCTCTAAGGATCACCCTAAACCCATGTCAGATGAAGTTGGCCTGATTGACAATTGATCAGCTTGGAGATCATTAACTTTCCTTGCCAAAAAACCAAAGCAACAAACAAGAAGATTTTCAATGTTGTAAATTGAAAGTCACATGAACGCAACAGATTCTATGTAGACAATGAAAGTTGTGGAGACTATTCTTCCAGAATTCACACACAAAACAGGAGAATGTTGGAACAAAATTATGAACTGTCTGCATTGCTGACAATGACAATTTCTCATTTATAAACAAAAGCTTTCCATTGCCAGACAGTTATATTTCACTTCAGTAAGTCAAGTAGGAAATGCCCTTTTGAAGTTGGTGTTAAAGTAAAAAATGTTTGGGTCCTCATTATACAAAGTTTACATCACATATCATAATATAGCTGATATAGGAATTTTGAAAACTGATAACAAATCTGACAAAACGTGAGCGAAAAGGAAAGCAATTCTACATTCCTTCCCCACTCATTAATCTACTATGAAGGGGATAACGGTTCAACAAAAATATTGTAAAGCATATAATGCCAAAACAACCAACAATTTATATTTATTCTGCTCATCTAAATTCATACACTTAAACACATCTGCCTGCAAAGCATTGTTTTCTTTCTTCACTTTTTTTTGATCAGTCTCGAGTCTGACACACATGGAAAACCCATCATCATGTTTAAGAATATCCAAACCAGGAAGAGTTTCACATACACATGTTACATATCCATGGAAATTTCCCTTTTCTTACAGTTAAACATTTAAGAGGTAATATAGATCTGATTATTTATATAAAGTTATAGTCCTTACTTTTATTTCCAACTAATCCGACCACAGGGTGTTGATTAGATTCCTCATTTACTTTCTTCACTGCAGCATACCAATCTTCCAGGTTTTCAAAACTCTGGTAATTTGTGATATCATACACCAGTAAGACACCCTAAGGGGGAGATAAAAACAAGACAGAGCATCATTCACTTGAACAAATAAATACCTACCATTAGCTTTGGGCAGAGAAAGGGTATTTATTCATTCATCAAGTGCCAGATACTAGCATTATAAAATTATGTGGTATCAATGAAGCTAAGACACGAATATCCAGCTCCTAAATAAATGGGTCTCAGATGACATGCTGGAGAATGGTAACCAGAATCAACAGCTGCTTAGATCCCATGTTAATTACTGTAATTTGAATTTTCAGTCCAAACTAAAACAGTCACTGAAATGCATCTTTCATTGAATTAGCCACAGAAATGTAACCTGATGCATTCTTGCATTAGCAATTTCTTATATTCCACAAGAAAATAAAAGGTGAATCTTATGAGGATGAACAAGAAGATTAAGGGAAAACTGATCTGGTAAACCCTTGTGTTTCGGATCAATAAAATCCCACCCAAACTAATAAAGTCCCACACTTGAAGCAAAGCAGGAAATTATGTCAGTGGCAACTTAATAACATGGAACTCAGCCATTTTATTGAAAAGCAGAGTGAATGGGTTCCATAGTGCAACTGTATTATAACCAAATGTGTGCTATAAAGACATGTATACAAGCAGAGATGAACCATAATAGGGATAAAAAAAACAATAACTTGCACCTAATATCTAGCAACTAAGAAGGCGAACGGCATGTTAGTGTTCATTGCAAAAGGTTTAGAGTACAAGAGTAGGGAAGTCTTGCTGCAACTGTATAGGGCCTTGGTGAGACCTCACCTGGAGTATTGTGTGCAGTTTTGATCTCCTTATTTAAAAAAGGACATACTTGCCCTAGAGGGGGTGCAGCGTAGATTCACTCGGTTAGTTCCTGGGATGAGGGGACTGACCTATGAGGATAGGCTGAATAAACTAGGGCTGTATTCTCTAGAGTACAGAAGAATAAGGGGAGATCTTATTGAAACATGTAAGATTCTTAAAGGGCTGATAAAGTAGACACTGAGGGTCTGTTTCCCCGGTAGGAGAATCTATAACCAGGGGTCACAGTCTTAATATTAAGGGTCAGCCTTTTCGAATAGAGTTGAGGAAACATTTCTTCACTCAGAGGGTAGTGAATTTATGGATTTCCCTTCTCCCGAAGACTGTAGATGCTCAGTCCTTGAACATTTTTAAGGCTGAGATTGATAAATTTTTAAAAAATAGAGGGATTAGAGGATATGGGGATAGGGCAGGTAATTAGAGTTAAGTCAGAAGATCAGCCATGATCTTATCGAATGGCGGGGCACAGGCTCGAGGAGCCGAATGGCCTACTCCTGCTCCTAATTCTTATGTTCTTATGTTCTTATATCACGCCCTTCATGCAGGATAATGAACATCTTTGCAAGAGCAAGAGGAGTGTTCTGGTCCTTATCTTGGGAGTCCCTCCGACTCACTCACTGTCCATCCAGTAATGTGAATCACTTTGAGATGTTCTCCCGAAATGAAGGACAACGCCTATATAAATTAAAATTGTGTATATTGTATCGGAGAGAGGGAGGAGATGAGAAATTGAGATAAGAGTTTGTACTACAAGGATGTAAACAGTAGTATCCCCTCTCCCTCCCATACTCCAGCAGTCATTGCTCTTCACATTTTATGTGTATATATAAATGATCCAAACTTAGATATTGGGGACATATATCAAAATTTGCAGACAACATAAATAGGAAGAATGGCTTACTGTGAAGAGGGCTCTAGGACATAGACAGATTAGTGGATTAGGCAGAGTTGGCAGATGAAATTTAATGCAGAAAAATGTGAGATCATACATTTTGGGAGAAAAATAAGAAGAGTATTATGAACTAGATTGTAATATTATAAAATGAATAGAGACCTAGGGAGTTCACATAAATAAATATTTTAAAATGGATGGGTATGTTGACAAAAGCTGTCAAAATGGTAATGGTAAACCCATATTTTATAACGGGGATTAAAGTGCAAAAGCAAAGAGGTAATTTTAAATTTAAGTTGAAAGTACAAAAGTAAAGAGGTAATAAAGAAACAAATCGCCTGCCTCACCATCGGCGGGCAGGCCTTCAGCCACACTGACCCCACCCTCTGGAACTCCATCGCGCAGTCCCTCCGCCTCTCCCCTTCCCTTCCCTCCTTCAAAACCCATCTCAAGACCCTCCTCCAATGGAATGCTGAATCTCTACAAATCTTTAGGTTAAAATACTGTTTAATTTGGAGCTTCAGAAAGAATATCAAAGCTATACAAAACACAATCATCCCACAATAAGATTTTTGTTCCTGTGGTGGCACACCAAACGTAGCTAACACCCATTTTAATGTAATGTTTAGAAACCATAAAATTCCATTATGGCAAGATTATAGCAGGTTTAACTGCACGTGTGCACCAAAGGACTCAGGCCCTGCACACCAGGAGCTTTCTTACTAAAAAAAAGCCGTCTTTGGGGTCATTGATCACCACCAACAACATTGGCGAACTTTTTCTTAAGCTGAATAACCAACTTCTGCATTGTTAGGTCACCACAACATAACCTTCTGCTTTGCTCATGAAAGCAATAAGTATATCAACAGCAACATAATGACCCGGATATTGGCCATTTTAGCATAAAAAGCTGGCAGTCCAGCAAGTGGAAATCAAGCGGCCTGCTACAAAAGGCTCAGTGAATGGGTTCACAGTGGACCTGCTTTATAAGTGAATTTGTTATGTAGTGAAATGGCTGCTAATGCCTAAATTATCTTCACAAACAAGGATAATGAGGTACAGTTTGAAGCATGTCACAAAATTGGCAGCTCCTATCAGACAGAAAACCTAAAGACACATTCAATTGAAATCCGATCCTCCTCTTGAAGAGCAAACACTACACGCCAAAGTGCAAGCAAATGGTCTGCTGGCAGAGAAACAGTTCTCAGAAGACTTAAAATAGATCCTTCTGAATACCAAATTCTGGCCGATTCCAGGTGAGATATCTTGTAATTGACAAAAATCTTCAGCTTTTGGAACATAAAAATCCTGTGTAAAACAGTCCAAGAACTTGTCTGGCAAAAAACTCAAACTGATCTGGGATAAGCATAGAAGTCCAGGATCAAGCAGTGAAGTGGATTTGTGGCAAACGAGGGAAGCGGCTGCATGGAGGAAGGACTCCATCCTATTCTACCTGTCGCTGAGCACCCTAGAGGCAGAGTCAGCTTCACATCAGTTACGTCTATTTGTCAGGGCCCCTCACATAAGGAGCTGGATTAAGCAGCTGGTACTGGTATTGGCACTGGATTAGACCTCAAGGATATCACAATGGCTGGCACATCACAAGGTGTCCTATAAAGGTGCTCCCACCACGCTGAAGGCAGATGTTCGTCAGATAGCTGATACGGAAACTTGGGGTGACAGCGACTAGAAGGCATTACCTGGAGTCCGTGTTTGTGAACGTGCATTTGGTAACGGAATATCACAATCAAGCAACCCTCTATAATAATAATAATAATCCTTGCATTTGATATAGCGCTTTTCACGTCGGGAGGACGTCCCAAAGCGCTTCACAGAACATACTGTAAAGTGAATTGACTGTATATTTGTGGGCGAACGCGGCAGCCAATTGCGCACAGCAATGTCCCACAAACAGTCGTAGATTGTAAATGACCAATTTATTATTGGTTTTGGTTTTGGAGGGATTATTATTAGGCGTGTGGAGTAAGGAAACTTGCCCAAGGTTTCGCCCTGCCTGGAATTGAACTCCGGTCTCTCACTTGCAAAGCGAGTGCTCTAACCACTGAGCTACAGGACTCCACTCCTCTGTGGCAGTCTCAGTAGTCCAGTTCCTAAAGTAATCCAGAGCACTGCTGATGACAGCACAGCAAGGCTAGTTCATCAGCAAGACTTGGAAGAGCAGACCAGTCACTGGGAGCAGGGACTCTTCCCACTGTTAACTTTGCAAGACAAAGCTCTAATGATAGGATGTTCCTTGCTGGACAAGCAGTGGGAAAGCTTCCCAAATAATGCCCTGTAATGCAAGCTATATGATTTTAGCTGGGTAGACTCTAGCACTACTTCCAACACACACTCCGGGGTCTGCAAGCCTTCACTCTAGTCAACCTGTACAGGACATTTAATGCTGAGAGCAAATCATAATTTTAAATAAGCAATATCAGAAAAAACCACAGAAAAACAACAAATCCAGTAAATGACCCTTTGTTTAATAATAATCCTTGCATTTGTATTTTTATATTTTATTTATTTGTATTTTTAGACGTTTTGACAATATGATGAAGCACTACATCAAATGCAACAACTACTTGCATTTATATAGCACCCTTTAATATGGTAGTCTTGGGGGGAAAGTAAGAATTATAATAGTTGTTGTTGTTTAGAAAATGGCAGCATAAAAGCCGCACAGAAAAAGTGCCTTGTAACATAAAGCACATCTTTCTTACCCAAACACATTATGCCAAGAATGCCTCATAGCCAAGCTCTCAAGAATAGGAGTGACATACTTGGGGTTCCCTGTAATAGAAGCATTTTACAGTTATAGATGTCTTTTCCAGTGCAACAAATAATTTTTGTTGTGTGTGTTGCATCTCATATTTTTTTCCCCTCATTAGTTTGCAATGTACAGTACTATAGAAATCAATATGAACTACTTTCATCTAATAAGCATACATCTTCCAAGCATCTATATTTTTAAATCTTTGGGTTTGACATAGCGTCTTGTCATATCAGGAGGATGGTTCAATGCTCTTCACGGTATTCACATGGAGAGTGCTGTGATTGTGTATTTTGTAGGCGAGCATGGCAGCCAATAGGCACATAGCAATGTTCCACCAAAAGCCATGAAATGAATGAAATGAATGACAAATTTTATAGTATAAAAGCCCTTGCATTTAAATATGGTGCCTAATCATGTTATCAAAACGTCACAAAGCACTTCACGGGATATACTGCAAAGTTTTGTGGGCAAATGTTGTCTGCCTCATCATTGTCATCCCTTATCTAAGGGAGTTTTGGCCAGGACACCAGGAGAAACTCCCTTCTCTTTTCGAACTGTGCCACAGGATCTTTAATGTCCAGTAAAACAGGCAGATGGGACCTCAGCTTAACACCTCATCTGAAGGATGGCACCTCCAAGAATACACCACTTCCCAGCAGTGCACTGGAATCAGCCCAGGTGGTGAGTTCCAAGTCTCAACATAGGGCTTGAACTCACAATCTTCTACCTCAGAGGCTACCAATTAAGCCAGGCCGACAACCACAAATATAGTACACGTCTTCCTGAAACTCAAATTTTTTTTATAATTTCTATGAGGTAGTATGTTGGGTCTCCAGCTGCTTAAAAACTAACTAAACTCTAATCTTTCCATCTCCCACTTTATGAAGGAACTTCTGTGATTCTAAAAGTGTGTACAGTTCAAAACCAACATTCAGTTAGTCCAGAAAGAGACACATTACCACAGTACTTCAAGTATGTTACTCTAGTAGACCAGTACAAAAACTGACAGTTAAAACACTAAATCACCATGCAAGGACTGGAATGTTTAACTTGACTAGAGATATTCTAGTTAATTTATGGCTAATCTGAGATACAGAGCTAAAGTTCAATACTGCTAAAGCAATATTAATTAACAGCTTGCTAAGGCAAAAGAAATATAATAGCTGGGTTTAATGTTTAAACATGAACACAAACTTTGTTGTTGTTTTTAATATGACTAACACTTTTGATCTTGCTCTGCTTTTCAACAATTCATTTCTTGTTTTTAATTTGTCCCCATTATTAACTAATTCAAACAATTCAAACAGTTTAATATTCATGCATACAAAATATAATATTTCTCCTAATGCAAAATAAAATATTATACGATTAATAACTTATCACACATTATTGCTTTTACAGACCAAGAAAAGTTTCTAAATTTGCTAAATGGAGACCTGGTAGAAATGAGAAATGGTAAAAGGGGAATTAAAATTATGAAGGAACACAAACCAGGAAAGAAAATAACACTTGCAAAATTATTGTAATGAAATTTATGGAGTCGTACAACTGGATTTAATTCAACTGTTTATTGTATGTTTTTCAGAATACACATGTCCTCTTTTAAATCAGTACACAAGCTACTGAATAGCAGTTTAAGGAAGAGGGAAAGTGGTTTAAAAAACTGTGTAAATAAAATAATGATAATAAATAATAATCTTTGCATTTGATATAGCACCTTATTATGTTATCGGGATGTTTCAAAGAGCTTCACATGAAATACTGTAGTGTGTTTGTTTGACCTTGTATTTTAAAACAATTTATTCTCAAAAAACAATATTAGACAAATAAAATGAAAGAAACCTTGAGCAAAAAAATACTTTTAGAAAAATTGAACTGTAGAAGGATAGAAGAAAAATAAATTAAAGGAATGAATAGACAATTAGATACAACAAGCACAGTAACAAAAAAAAGTTTATATGAAGAACAAGGGTTTAAACTGGAAGAGAATCACTATAGTTTGAACCAATTTACCAAGAAACACTGACACAAATCATTGTGTTATGCAAATTGTTCTAGAACCACTGACACTCTATTCACAAGTTTTCGGACAATGCAAGTCTTAATATAACAATATTTTTAGAAGAACCAATTTAGAATAAGCCTTATCAAATGCAAGGATTATTATTATTATTATTTATTACTACTGTAATTGATGGGTTGCAATGTAAAACAAAGAAGAATAAGGTGATTTCAAATTATGTACTTCAAAAAGATCAGTTATAAAATAAATAATAATAATCCTTGCATTTGATATAGCGCTTTTCACGTCTTTGACGTCTCAAAGCACTTCACAGAATATGCTGTAAAGTGAATTGACCGTATATTTGTGGGCGAAACGCGGCAGCCAATTACGCACAGCAGTGTCCCACAAACAGTCCCGGATTGAAAATGACCAATTTATTATTGTTTTTTGTTTTGGAGGGATTATTATTAGGCGTGTGGAGTAAGGAAATTTGCCCAAGGTTTTGCCCTGTCTGGAATTGAACCCAGGTGTCTCGCTTGCAAGGCGAGTGCTCTAACCACTGAGCTACAGAACTACAGGACTTATAAAAGTCAATGCTTTTGTAATTTATAATTATGAAAGGTGGATATTCAAAAAAAAACACTGGATTAGTAAATCCATTTTTTGAAATGGGGAAAGCATTCACTAGAATGAACCTATTGATTGCACTGCTTTGGCCATGACAAAGACAATAATTGCCAAAGAATTTCCTTCAATGATGCCACATTTAATGCTTTGAGCCATTCATCCAAAGTAAAAGGCAAATTTCACTGTGAGGTAGAAGAAAAAAAGCGCTTACCTGAGCTCCATAGATGTACTTGTCCAACATTTTGCCTCCTATTGTTTGCCCACCTATATCCCAGACTTGCAATGTGACATTTAAATTACCTGGGTAATAAGCAAAGACATCAGCGTATTTAGAGCCACTTAAACAAGAACGAGCAAATACCAAATACAAATTTGCTTATCCTGAAATTATCCTACAGGTCAAGGATTTTGCAAATAGTAAAAGCTCAAATAGCATCATCCCTATAGATGAAAGCATTAATAACCATTTCATCAATTGTTGATTTATACTAAATTATATTACTAAAACCTACAGCCAGCATATACATTATTAAAGCACCACTGTTTCATGGGTTACTTAATACAGTCTATGAGTAAAACATGTACAGTGTTGAAGCCCCACAATAACACATTCATTGGAACGGTTATAAACAATACAACTTGAAGAGGTGAATATTAATTAAATAATATACTTCTTACAATGTTAATTTTTGTGTTTAAATGTACATGTAGTCTGCAAAGTTGCAAAACAATTATGGAAGGATTAGAAAAATTAACATTTCTGTAACAAAAACTAATACTAAAAACATTATTTGACTTTGAACATATTTCAACCATACTGTATTACATTCTGCAGCCGTTTGCATTTGGCAGCTACAGTCAGTATATCAAACAGCGTGCATTTAGCTAAACATACACTAAAGGTCTTTCTGCGAGTCTCAAGGACGGACTGTCCTCTCCACCATTAAATACTACAGGAAACATTGAAAATTGTATATAGTAGAAATAGAAGAAATAAATGGGCAAATTTTATATTACGTAAGAGGTAGGACAGCACAGTGACCAGTTCATACCGGCCCAAATTTAAAACCACCATTGGGACTCAATATTAACCTTGTAAAATATTTTTTGGCGCATTTTGTAAACTTCTTTTAAGTGTCAAAAGCCAAGGATGGAACTAAAAACATTAGCTTGGCCATTTTTCATATAGCAAACTGAAATAACCCATTCAGTGGGACAGTCCTATTTACTGGATGGCACCCAAATGGTTACTAAAACATATTTTACGGTAGATCCTTTAAGAAAGGAATACTCTGTATTAATCAAAACTCTGTGAGCAAAATGAGATGATGGACAACCACGCATTTCTTTCAAGTTTACCTCTTACTGTGATTTCTCTGCAACCACCATTTGTGTCGCTTTGCAAGACACATATTTTTGGAGTTTCAAAATATATTAGAAGACTTATATTTCCTCAATGTTGATATTCAGCAAAATAATAAGAGCTTTATTTGACCTCAAATCATTTGCAGCATAGCAGTTACGTACCCAGTAATTGTATAATTAGATGCATTGGAAGACTATCACAGATTAAATCGTACACAACCTTAGGAAATCCAAATCTTAATTAACAGCTTGATTATTAACGTAAGTCTAATTCAGTGTGCCCAATGTACTGAGGTTATTTAATGTTGAAAATAAAAGTTAATAATTGCACATAGGTACATTAATCCATCGGCCATACCCACAAGTCTAGCTTCTGAATAAAATTAAGTGATATTTTAATAATAATCATCCTTGCATCTGACATAGCGCTTTTCACATCTTCTCGACATCTCAAAGCGCTTCACAGAATATACTGTAAAGTGAATTGACTGTATATTTGTGGGCGAAACGTGGCAGCTAGTGTCCCACAAACAATCCTGGATTGAGTGAACAAATTATTATTGTTTTTGTTCATGAGGGATTATTATCAGCCGTGTGATAATAAGGAAACTTGCCCAAGGTTTCGCCGTGCCAGGAATCAAACCCAAGTCTCCCGCTTGCGAGGTGAGTGCTTTAACCATTGAGCTCCAGAACTCCAAATTTTAAATGTAACTAACATTTTCATTCTTTTAATACTACATAATTTACATAGTGCCTTTTACATCACAAGGATATCCAAAAGCACTTGACAATTGGGCACCAGAACTCAGAGTGGGAGCTCTATCGATCTGGGAATCCTTCCCAACATACAATACATTTAATCTCCATCAGCTTGAGTACCTTTCCTATCACATACAAATCTTAACTGAACTTTTACTTTGATTCTTATAAATCACTTACTATTCCACTTCCTCTAGTCTGGATCTGTTAGCAACTGCCTGTGAGAGTATGTTACCGCTCAGTTTGAGATATGGATTTTTGACAGTCACGGATGGTTAGAATGATGACTGAAGTCACCTCTCCAAGATAGTGACCACAAAGCTTGTCCGGCTCCACTGGCTCTCATTCCCCAGAGCAGAGATTCACAATTTTTTTTTCAGCACCCTCCCCTCTCTTTGGAGATTCATGTCACATGTGTGCCCACCACCCCACCCCCCTTTCTAAGAAATAGTGTTTTTGCATAGAACAAGAGGATATTATTTTCTCAGCCAATGCAACATATTGCTACAGAGAGAAAACAAACTCGCATAGTACCACTACTCTACTACAAAATAAACTTAGTGCATTTCACATCCCTCTTCCTGACAGGCCCACATTTTTTACAACACATATATTTACCATAAATAGCAGCTAATATGTAATAATAAAAAAAAAATTATTATAATCTTTGCACTTGATATAGTGCCTTATCAAATCTTTGAGAAGTCTGAAAACGCTTCACAGAATATACTGTAAAGTGAATTGACTGTGGGCAAAAAAATATATACTTTACATTATATTTATATACCTCCTGCTTTGACTTTCTTTCCATCGCTCTCCACATGGAGAGGTACTAACATAAATACTTAAGACAGTAAAAGAAGAAAGGATCCCTAAATAGGTCCTACTTAAGGGTTCTTTCTTCTTTTACTGTATAAGTGTTACTAAATAGGGGGACGTGGGGAAAGGAAATTTCAAACATTAAGTTACCTTTCATCACAAAAAAGCCGCCTGAGCACTGCCAGGTTCTCTCGGGTTACAGTATTATTATTATTCTCTCCCAGCCTTATGTCACATACTGTACCCCCACCTGCAGCCGACAAGGGATAACCTTGTTGCACCCCCTCAGGGAGGAACGCTCCAGTTTGAAAATCAATGCCCTAGAGAACTGAATTTAAGATCTTCCTCCTCACTTTCAAACCCCTCCCATGGTTTTGCCCCACTCTGCCATTACTTTGATTCCATTCCAATCTCCTGGGGAACCTCAAGAAGTACAAGACATTCTTCTGTAAGTGGCTAATTTTTATTTTTGAGCCTGGTCAGCAAGTATCAGCAGACTATTTCTATATTGCATATTAAGGCTTGTTCACATTGGCCACAAAACCAGACACTTGCAAGTTCATTTCCTTTCTTCTGCCTGTCCACTTTGATTATTGAATCTGATATGCCAATGGATGCAAGCCTCAAGAAGCAGTTCCTGCTGAAGCCTGAAACAGCAGAACTGATGTATCCCAAACTAATTGTTTTTATCGACCAAAGTAAAAATGCAAGATCATTTACGAACCTTAAATTAAAAATCAAAAGTGCAACCGATTAAAAGTTCTACTGTACAAATTTCACATTTACACACTACTGAAGTAATTCCCCAATGTGGTTTCCTTCATTTTCCAGACAAAATAGTAACCTCACGCCATTGCCAATGAAAAAGGAAGATCCTCGATACATCCCTGTGAAATACGTTTATTTCTAGAAATGAGGTAGTCAGCCTCACAAGTAGAAATAAATATATTTCACAGGGGAAGATATAAAAACTGCTGAACACACTTACTGTATGTTTTCACGTTTAAAAAACAAATATTATACACATATTTTGCTCTGTTCTGAAAGCGGGAAAAGCAGAAAAAATCATCTGGAATTTCCAAGTGACATCACCTAACCAAACACTGCAGCTGTGGAAAATAAAGAAGAGATTTCCAGAGCTTTCAGCCCACGTGAGCAGAATAAGCACCACTCTGCAATTGTGGAAAGGAAAAATCACTTTGTACTCTGTAAAAATTGGCACTGTATGTGAAGAGATTAAAAACAATGAAGCCACAAAAGGTATCAATTGCTTAGCGAGGTCTCAATGGTAACAGTTACCCTGAATGACCAAGGCAACCCAATGCCATCTCTGGGATAAGAAAGAAATGCTCGGAACACTTACCAAAATAAGACATATTTCTCCCAACTGTTCACAGCAATATTTTGCGTGGTTACGGCACTTCAGAATTGTGCTGAAAAGGGTTAATGGCACTCTTTAATAACAGCAAAGTCCCACTGCAGGGTAAGCTAGTGACATATATGACTTGTGTCCAAACAGGTCCCCATGGGTCACAACAAAAAGTTTTCTTATGACCCATTTGCAAGGTCCAGGATCAAACGGTGAGCTAGGTTTCGGATAAACATGAGGGGACATGTACAAGGAGACATCTAACCTACACTATCTTGTCGCTCAGCATCCTGGATACAGAGGTGGCTTCATGGCTTTATATAGTATCAGCCTGGCTCAGTTAGTGCAGTCTCATTTTTTAATAATAATCCTTATATTTGATATAGCGCTAATTACGTTGTTGAGACATCTCCAAGTGCTTCACAGGATATATTGTAAAGTGAATTGACTCTATGTTCTGTGGGCAAAATGCGGTAGCTAATTGCTCACAGCAATTTTAATATGTTATCCAAAAAGGTAATGACCCATTTGCAAGGTGTTCAGGCCACACATCAGGAATTTGACCTCAGTCTCAGCTGGCACTCCAATGTAGTGCTGGGGGTGTGCTACATTTTTGGAGGTTTCTAGGATGAGACATTAAACCAAGGTCCCATCTGCCTGCTCAGTGTTGTGGACATTAAAGATGCCTTAGCACTGCTCGAAAAGAGAAGGGAGTTTCTCCCAGAGGCCTGGAGAACAATCCCCCCAGATAAAATTGGTCATTCACTCCATGGCTGTTTGCAGGATATTACTGTGCCAGATGAACTGCAGCATTTGCCTACAAATACACAGTCAATGCATTAAATCTGCCATTAGTAGGCAAACCTTCAGCTATTCTGCTCCAACTCACTAGAACTCCAACTCAGACTTCACCTTGCCCTCTCTGCCTTCAACATATAGCTCATCTAGACCTCATAATCCATACTTGGCCAACTTCCCCCTAACCTCCAGCAATCGCCTTCTCCTGCTTGGTAATTCAAATCAGTTGTGTTAAGCGCTTTCAGACATCTTTCCAACATGAAAGATGCTATATAAATGTAAACTGTCTTGAATCAGGTCTGCCAGCATTTTGAAGTCAGATGTCTGCTAAATAGGTGATGAGGAAACTGAAGCTTTGGATGACAGCTGCTGAATAGCATCACAGGTTCATGAACACATACTCATGACTTGGTGGTAACCTTGATTTGTATGTAGAATGGTAAACAGTTATTCTGTACCTTCAATTGGTGAAATCATCTCTCAATTAATTAGGAAACGGGCTGTCAGGGTGTGGGTAGGAGATTGGTGGCAATGCTCTCATATATTTTGCTGCTCACCATACTACTTGCAAGGAGTTCCTGGTACCTGATTGTCCACCTAGCAAGGCTTCAAACCTGTGCTTGTCATATATCTAATCACCAACAAGGCACTCAATCTGCTTCAAGCATTGGAAGATTACAATACAGTTAGTCCTCTGTATCAGTTTCAGTAATCTGATACCTGTGCCAGGCAAACCAACCAGCTTGGCTACTTGGTAGGACTTGGAGATGCAGACTAGTCACTGGAGCCTGAGATTCTTCCCAATTAGTTACCGATACCCTGCAAATCTGAAAGGTACTGGAAAATACTTCTCAGTCCTTTGCAATGGTAAGCCTTGCAGTTTTAACTAATTCAATTAGAGCAGTATCCCTTTGTTCACATCTTGACAGCAAGTGTTAGCAGGCCACTCAACCGTGGAGGGTATCACAGGTGAGCCTCACTTCTCCCTGCCACACACACAGCAGCCTCTCACCAGTAGAGGGTACTGAAGAGGGACAAGAATCAAGAACGCTGTCCTGTTTTATCCTTCCGACCATAGACCAGAACCAATTTCGCCTCACCAGGCTGCCCCAGCTGAGCCCAGGAAACCACGGTTTTAGTAGGTTAACTCCAGCAGTATCCCAATACACAATCTGGTCCCCAAGCCCAGACTACTGTCAACCTCTACACAAGTTCTTTTCAAAGGCCAGCACAGACACGATGGGTTGAATGGCCTCCTTCTGTGCTGTATAATTCTATGATTCTCCAGGAATAGTTAATCAGGTGTGTGTCTCTGGAGAAGCACTCCTTTCCAGACAAAAGGAAACTATACCTATTGGGACTCTACTTGGTTTGGACAGTTTGCAGCATGGTAATGAGTTTCCACCAAGTACCTAGCTGACCAACAAAAAATATTCACAGCACTACACCTAGTATCATTACTAGCAATAATTCTAAATATCAGTAATAGATTATTGCGTTCAATTCATGCAGATAAAGACATCAAGCTAAGAAAATCATTGAACAAAAACTCAAAAGATTAATGTTAAGCTTATACTTGCCTGGTTCAAAAAATATAGTACATTAGAAATTAATTGCTACCATATCTATTTCAACAGCAAGATTAATAAAGGTCTCATTTTTAGACCCAAGGAGCAACAATTTTGTTCCAGGGGCTAATAATCACCCACAAAATATACAGTCAATTCACCTTGAATATAATACATTATGTGAAGCCCTTCAAGATGTCTCAACAACGTACTATATCAAATGTAAGGATTATTATTATTTTTATTGCTCAACCCCCGATTACTGTGTTTTCAACTACAAGAGGAATCTTCAACTGGGAACGTGAGACATGCGATCCTTCTCTCTATCTCTCTCTACCCCTCCATACTCTCTTCCACCTCTCTCTTGTGGAGTTCTGTAGCGTAGTGGTTAGAGCACTCGCCTCACAAGCGGAAAGACCCAGGTTCAATTCTTGGGCGATGCAAAACTTTAGGCACCTTTCCTTACTCCACATGCCTCCATTTACCTCGTAGTAAGTAGGAACCCGGTTGTTAGTTGATTATCGGATCACTTTCCAGGGTTAATAAAATTAAAAATAATAAATTGGTCACTCAATTCATGAATGTTTGTGAGACACTTCTGTGCGCAATTGGCTGCCGCATTTCACCCACAAAATACAGTTAATCCACTTTAGAATATACTCTGTGAAGTCCTTTAAGACGTCTCAACAATGTGATAAGGCGCTATATCTAATGCAAAGATTATTATCATTATTATTATTCATACAAGTAAATCTTTTGACATAATACTTGTGTAACTTATTAAATGTACATGTTCATCAGTATGCAGAGCTACCTTACTGAATCTCTTACCTGGTAGTGTTAACCTTTTCAAAAAGAAATCCAATCCAATTGTTTGTTTGTATTGTTTGCCAAAAGCTTCTTGTGCAAAACGCGTTGCCAAAGATGTCTGCAACGGAAATCATATACAAGATCAGTCAACCAGATATTCTTAAGGATTCACTAATCAGTCATTGAATGGATCAATCAGTTTTTTAAAAATGAGTTATTGATTTGATTCAAAACAGAATATGCTATTTCCTGATGTCTCTCTTTTGCATAGTTTGTATTTTTAAATGGACCAATTTGATTCCTCAATCTATATCCCTAACAATTCATCTCTCTCTTTCACTCTGTAATCAATCCATCTATCTGGTTCAATTGGTAGCACTCATCACCAAGTGAGAAGGATGTGGTTCAAGCCCAATATCAGGACTTGGACCTCCAATACAATGCTGGGGGAGCATTGGATGGAAGTACCATTCTTCGGATGAGACATTAACCTAAGTTCCTGTCTGCTTGTTCAGGTGAACGTTAAAGATCCCAGCACTAGTCAAAAAGACAAGGGAGATTCTCCTGATGTCCCCAGAAAAAATAGGCATACACGCCATTGCTGTTTGTGGGGCATTCCTGTGCATACATTAGTTGCTACATTCACCTACAAAATACATAATCGTTACACTTTACAATAAATACTGTGAAAAGCATTGAAAAATCCTGGCATGAAAGGTCCTATAGCAATTTCAAGGACTATATTATGATTATCATCATCATCTCTTGTTCACTCTATCACTATCTACACAGGGTAAATGTCACTAAGTGAGAAGGAGGATGTGGTTCAAGCCCGATGTCAGGACTTAGATCTCCAATACAATGCTGGAGAAGCATTGGATGGAGGCACCATTTTTCAGATGAGACATTAACCTGAGTTCCAATCAGACTTTAATCCGGAATTAGGAACCAAAAACAAAAAATTTCCCTGCGCCCACACGGGTGTAGACTCCCGCTGGCCGACTCTCCTATCGCACACCCACTTGCTGACGTTCCGTGGCCAGAGATCTAGGCTTTAACTCAGTTTGAATCTCATAAGCAGAAGATAGCTTATTCACTATCTATTGCTCATGGGATTCAAACAATTACAATGCTAATTCCCCTGATGTGAAAATATCTACATAGATGCATTTTGTTATTGTAATAGTGGTATCTGCATTTCATGGCATTTTTCGGCACTGAAAGAGCCAACGCCGAAAAAAGCTGGTAAGGTAGCAGCAATGTAATTACACTTAGCCAGAATTCCAGTTTGCCAAACTTGCTGCATATCTCCCGTTCTCTCGGCACAACCATTGGTAGCCAAGCCTTCAATTCCTTGAAGTCCCACCTCAAATCCTACTTTTATGAACAAGCCTGGGGACATCTCCCCCTTTCCTCTTGGTCTGTTTTCATTTAAAGCACTCTGAGTTGTTACCCTATATAAGTTATGCACATATATAAATACACACATATATACCATACGTGTAGATTATTTCGAGATATTTGTAGAATATTTTTATATATATATATGTTTCTCTCCAACAGATGTAAATATATAGCAGTACATCTGTGTGTGGATACATGTCCTTCTATGTGTATATCTATAATTCTTGCTATGTGTACATATGTCTATATTCTAAATTTTTCTCTGTACATCTCTCTCTGTGCATCTCTCTGTGTATATATATCTTCCGCTGTACATTTCTCTATATGTGTATATCTTCCTCTGTACATCGCTCTGTATCTCTCTATGTGTATAATCTTTCTCTGTATATTTCTCTATATGTGTATATCTCTCTCTCTGCATATTTCCCTATGTATATATATATATATATATTGTGTCTCTCTCTCTCTCTCTCACTGCTGGTCTGTACCTTGCCCGAGGCGCCGTCCCCTAAAATGACCACTTTGAGCTGCCGGTCCTGCGCCTCCTCCTCCGAGTCCGACATCGGTGTGTGTCTCGGTCTCTCTCACTGGCTGCCGGGCGCCATCGTGAGCCGCCACAGTGGTGGGGTGTGTGGTGGGGGTGATGATGGCCGGGCCTGACCCGGGGAGGGGAGAGGGGGGAGAGAGAGAGAGGGAGGGAGCGCGGGGACACACAAACCCCGAGGGAGCAGACGGGCGACCACCAAACCCTCCGACCCCGCGGGCGGGCGGGCGGCAGTGAGAGCAGCGGCAGCGCTCGGCTCGGCCCGACGGCCCTGCGGGTCGGCTCTGGGCTTTCGCCGCTGTTGGCGGACCGTAACCGTGTGTTTACACACCGACACGCGCCTCCCTCCCTCCCTCCTCGGCCGCCTCGGCGTCTGCCAAACCTGACGCAGCTGCGCTATCCGTCGCTAAGGAAGTGACGTGATCCAGGGGAGGAAGTGACGTTAGAGAGCGCGAGATGCACTCTGCCCTCCCCACACACACTGTAATGTAGTGCAGTGCAGTGTGTGGTTGTGCTGATGGCCGCCCTGTCCCTCGGGCTGCGTGTGGGTCTGTCTCTGTGCTGCTGTCCGCAGTCACAAGGCGTTCGGGCCGCACAACGTACAGTCGCTGCACTCCCTACAGCCTGTTCTGTGCAGCGCTTTGAGGCGTCTCGAAGCCGCGATAAGGCGCTGTAACCAAGTGCGGGGATTATTAATAATATTAGTGTTGCCATTACAAGGTCGATCGCCCCCCCGTGTGTTTTCCTGATTGAGCTTCGCCTGCCCCGGTTTCACTCTCCCCCGGCCGATTCCTTGTCCCTGTCTCCCGACACCTCCGCCTGCTCCACCCGCAAAAAAATGTTTTCTCACCTGACGCCTGGAATCTAACCACGTCCGCCTTATAACATCGCCCTCCTCCGTCGCTCACTCGCCCCCATCGTGGCCGAAACTTTCATCCACACTTTGTCACCTCCAGACTCCCACTACTCTGCCTCGCCAGCCTCGCTAAATGTACTCTCCACAAGCTCCAGATCACCCAGAACTGCGCAACCCACATTGTATACCACAGTAGGCTCTTAAGCCCATCACCTCTATCCTCGCCGAGCTCCCTATCTTCCAGAAGGTCCACTTTTAAGTGCTTACCTTCAAATGGTTCTTCTGCCTCAGCTCCTCTCTGCTTTCAAAACCGGTCCATAGACATGTCTCTTAACAATAATAATTGCATTCGATATAATAATAATCATCCTTGCATTTGATAAGCTCTTTCCACATCTTCGAGACGTCTCAAAGCACTTCACAGAATGTACTGTAAAGTGAATTGACTGTATATTTGTGGGCGAAACGCAGCAGCCAATTGCGCACAGCAGATATAACGCCTTATCACTCCTTAGAGATGTCTCAAAGCGCTTAAGTTATCTTCCCTCCCTTAACCCTCAATCTCTCCCCCACCTCGGCTCCACTTCATTTTACATCTTCGAAAGTGCTTTGAAATTTCTCCACATGAAAGGCATTACAACAACAATAACAACTTGGATTTATATAGCACCCTCCACGCCGGACGGCGTCTCAGAGCGCTTCACAGTAACGGATCTCGGGGCCGAGCCAGGGGGAGGGGGAAGAAGGTAACCAAAGATGCGGTTGAAAAGAAAAGTCTTCAGCAGAGACCTGAAAATAAGAAGAGAGGGTCCGAGGTGAAGGGAGTGAGGAAGGAAATTCCAGAGCCTTGGGGTATAGGGGCTGAAGGCACGGTCGCCGAGGGTGGAGCAGAGAACACAGGACAAGGAGGAGGCCAGACCCGGAGGAACATTATATACATGTCAATTGATGTTGAAAGAATTAAAGGAAAGTTTAGAAGGTTTTTCACCAGAACATTGATTTTTTTTCGTCAGGCAGGTGTCTGATACATGTGAAAATCTATCTTCATACTTAAGAATATCCAAATCACATAAAATTCCACATACACATGTCAAGCACACATGGACATTTCTACTTGTCTAGAACGGAGTGCACACTTTCTGATATGAAAATGGTGAACGTGTGCACATGCAGGATTTTACATCAGTTGAGGTGGTGAAAAATTTTTTCGGTGTAATTATTGATCATTTATTTACTCCATGAAGAGTTAGCATCTATAAAACTAATCAAAAAGTTTTGTAAAAGAATGTAGCTGGAGGACCTTCAAGCTCCCCACACAGCCTTGCGCCTTCCTACCTCAATGACCCGCTAACCTCTCATGAACCTGTCCATTCCCTCCGCTCAGCAGGCTCCGGTCTGCTCCACATCCTCCACTTGGCCCGCCCCACCATCGGCAGTCGGACCGTCAAGCCCTCCCCCACAGCCTTTGGAACTCCATCCCACATTCCCTTTGCCTCGTTTCCTTCTTTGCCTCCTTCAAGGCAGATCTCAAGACCTCCTCTTCGACGGTGCCTTCAACCACCCCCCTACCTTCCCTGCTCTCCACCCTCCATTACCCCAATTCCACCCCCACCCCCCCACCCACCACTCGGGTTCAAATCCCTGACTGTCCAGCACCTTCGGAAGTCCTCCCGACATGAAAGGCCTGTATGAATGTAATTTTGTATTGTATTGTAGCTGACGCCAGACACAAGAAAGTATGAAACGTTCATTGATAAATAGACATAAGATGAAAGCACAAATGTGATTTGGTGGTGACGTTGATGATAAAACAAATTTAGTAAAGTGAAGTAGTAACTTGCTGCAGGAGGGGAGGAACTATTGTATGCAAATATATCAAATATATCACACTACAACACTACAAAATTACTGCAGTGTTGAGCAGTATATGCAAAATATACTAGCCCACTGTCTCTGTAAAGTATTTTGAGATCTTCTATGTGAAAGGCTCTATATACATGCAATCTATTGTTGTTAGTGATAAGTATTTCATACATGATCTTCACAACTGGCAGAGAAAAAAAGTTTTTCCTGCACTAGGTCTGAACTTGATTCAAACCCAGGATCAATGGATGCACAAGTAATTTTCAGGCCCCTTCCACCAGGTCTACTAGATCAAAATGGATTAAGTGTTAGCTTCCTGTGCTGTCTTAAAAGATCTGTATTGATATGGGTTTTATATTGTTGCTCTTTTCTAAAGTAAGGAGCAACTAAAATCAATTACACATAAACAAGCAAAGTAAGAAAAATGTGATGGAGCTGGCCAGCTTGTTAAGGTTCTGAACCAAATTGGCTTCCAAGTTTTTTTCCAAATAAGAGCCAAGAAAAGTAATTTCTTAATGTCAGATGTCTTGAGTTACTTCAATTTAGCCTCCCACCATCAATTACTCTTGTACATAATGCAGTTGTATTACAAATTCAGGGCCAAAATATAAATCTCGTTGGCAGTCTGAATACAACTACTGTGTAAGGTTAATTAATTGCAGACAGATTGATAACAAGCACTACTGTTTCAAAAATGTGTTCATGAAGATGCAAAATAAACCATATTCATGGGTAACAGTCAATAGCTTGTAGCAATGTCTATATATTGATGTTGTGCAAGTAGCATGTGAAAAAGTAACATTACATCAAGGAAACTGGTCTGCAAACGTTCTTCTGTGATGACTGACAGAGGAGCATTGAACTAGATCAACAGAAGCAATCTCTGCATCATTCTACAAAAGCGAACACAAAGCAAAAATGTTCTCTTCCACTATTGATAAATATCTGGCCTGCAGTTCATTGGCACTGATTCTGTTGAGGGCATGTTATTGCTTTGGTCTTCAGTACAAGCTCAGATCCCTTTAAGTAGGATGAAAGAAGTTTGATGAGTTAGCACCATTATTCTCGAATTGGCATAAATAAATGGACAATACCAATTGTAAATGAAGCATTTATCATGAAGGGGTTTCTTTGCGATTATAGAAGAAACCTGGTGCCAAAAAGCAAAAGGCTCAAGTGTACAAGTCTGTACAGATGTGAAAAATGCATCTTGATACTGAACAATAAAAAGGAAGGAAGTGTTCAAATTATAATAACAATCCTTGCATTTGATATAGTGCATTGTTATCTTGTCAAGATGTCTCACAGCACTTCATGGTATTTTACTGTGAAGTGTAGTATTGTATTTCTATGTGAATGCAGCAACCAGCAATGTCCCACAAACAACCATGAAGTGAGTAGCCAATTTAATAAAATAATATTTCTTATATTTGAAAGCATTTGAGATATCCCAAGAACATGATACAGCATTATACCAATACAAGGATTATTATTTTATATACATACATATATATTGGTTTTAAAATGTTTTTGAGGAAGTACCTGCAACCATACCTCTTTTCCTTTCCCCAAAGATACATGTGTAGATCCTGAGACCTTTCTTTAGTAATTAGGAGTTTTCTTTCTAGGTGTTATTAGGCCCTGGGTATACTGCAACAGAGCACATTTGTCACTTCAAAAAAAGGACAGGCAGTCCTTCATATTATAATGATAATATTCTCATTACAGTGCTACTTGTTCAGCTATGAATGCTGATTGACCACCTCATTGACTCAAAAATAATAATAATAATCCTTGCATTTGATATAGCGCCTTATTATGTCTTCTAGATGTCTCAAAGTGCTTCACAGAATATACTGTAAAGTGTAATAATTGTATGTTTTGTGGGCAAAACGCGGTAGCCAATTCTGCACAGCAGTGTCCCGCAAACAGTCATCGATTAAGTGACCAAATTATTATTATTATTATTTTGAAGGTATTATTACGCCCGGAAATGCGATACTCCAATCGGCCACCAACCGGGTTCCTACTTACTACTAGGTAAACAGAGATGTGTGGAGTAAGGAAACATGCCCAACATTTCGCCCAGCTGGGAATCGAACCCAGGTCATCTCATTTGCGAGGCAAATGCTCTAACCAGTAAGCTGCAGGACTCCAAAATGCTTTACTAAATTCAAGCAAAACAGGACAGGTATCTTTCTTTCTTTCACTTGACTTTTGCCTACTTTTAAAACTGGCCTCTTAATGCAAACCTCTTATGAACTTGACAACTCTTTATCAGAAATGCTTTTTTCAACTTAGTACCATTATTAAATATTTAACTTACTACCGCAACTTTATTGCGCTGCTACATATGTGATCACCTTTGTTGATACTCAAGTTTACATATTTATTTTCAATGCCACAGACAGTTATGTGGAAAATCTTGTGGTATATAATGCTTACAAGATAAATAAAGGTTTTCTATTTACAAATTAAAATAATGTTTAAATATTTGAGTTC